TCTGCTTTCATGCTGACCAGCCGAACCCAGAAGGCTGAGGCTACCACACAAATGCAGTCAAAACAGAACTGAGCCCTAATTTTACAGAGCTTCTGACACTGGATGGAGCTTCCCAGATCACTACCTGGTGCTCCTCCTTCCTTTCACAGGTGTGATGGGGAAACCGAGGCACAAAGTATCCATACCCTACTTCCTTAGAATACTCCCGCCCAAGGTAGGGGTGAATTCTGGCGCTGGGGAGAACAGTAGCAAAGTGTGCTGCAGACTTTCACTTGTTCAGAGCTGCTGGTTAAGAATGCTTATAGAGATTGGGAAGGAAGGCGGCCAGAGCTCCACTGGACCCTGGAATGGAATCGTCTTTTCTGTTTCTGTTGGAATCAGACCAGCAACCTGTTGGCTCCAAACTCACCACTGTTCTCCAGGATCATTATTAGGGCATATGGATCTCTCTTGTCTGCCTCTGCACCCCAAGAGGACTTCTTCACAGTATCATAGCTTGTGCAGTGGGCCGGGATGGAGCCCAAGTAATCCCTTGGATGCCCCCTCTTTCCTTTATGAGTCAAGGCGGAGTTCGTAGAAAAAGCAAAGTGTGTCCCAGTATCTGCGATAGACATGGTAGATACTTCTAGGTAGATACTAAGGTGTGGGCTCGTCTTTTCAGAGTACATGAGTCACACACACATGGGGCCTTCCTAACCTTGCTTACCTCTGGTGGGGCTGAGCTCCTCTGTGAACTGTGTCTCTCTGGACATCATGTGTTTTGGCTGGTCTCCTTCTGCCAGCTGACCATCATTACCCTTTACACAGCTGTGTACACAGCTTCCCACAGTCAGAACATTGCAAGCAAGTGCGGTCACTGACCTCACTTGAGGTGCATGATCAGAAACGCAAGTGCTTAGGGCTAGAGCTGTCTGTCCATCGTGCAATCCAGCGGTGCTGTCAGGCCAAGAAGAGCCTTTTATCAGACCCATCCCATGGCCTGATATTAAGTGGTAATGTACACAGAGCACCCTAGACCAGGAAGGAGCTACAGCCTGGTTAATCAGCACTTTGATTTATAGGAACATACCCTCATAAAATCCAGCATTACAAGTTTCTGTAACTCATACAATTAAGCTAGGAGGTGAGCTTTAAAAAGCACCAGCCTCATGTTTAATTTATTCTCCCCTAAACCAGAAAGAGTAGCTAGCAGGGCTAGTAACCCCAGGCCTACAGCTGAGTCTCCCTGTACTACCTCCTCCACTCACCACCATCAGTGCAAGAACAGAGGTCTCTCAAGAGGTTGGGAGGTCTAGTCCCCTAAGGCTTATCCTCAGCTCCTTCAAGAGAGGACCATGCCAGAGCACCAGGGCTTGCCATGTCCCGTTTTCCACAGGGACCTGTAGATGAGGGGAGAGTGGACTTCACCCCTATGACACATGCCAGGGTATGGTTGACCCTAGACACAGTGATCCATCTGACACCCAGAGTCTGGCCTGCCTTCATCCTAAGGTACAGTCTCTGATTGTGTATCCTGGGCAGCTGAGTGTAAGCAGGACATGGAGCAGCACTCTGGTATGTCAGATGTCTACAGCCATCAACACAAAGCAGATGGTGGAGATGCTAGAAGAGGTAACTGAGGTCCAACACCTTAAGCAATGTATTCCAGACCACTCACATTGCCTCTGTGATGTGGGCAGCAATCCACTTTCAGGGGTGCCTTTGGATGTCCTAAAGCAGCCACCCTCTAGGATGCTGGTCCCCTGGTGCCTCCCAGTCTGTGTCTTTCTCATACTTTGTGTGAACCTCACCTTTCTTTGAACTTTCTCCTTCCTCTACCACTCACCCTCAAGGACTACTGCCCACTTGGAGGTCAGGTGCTAAGGCTGTGATGAGAGACCACCAGTGTAATGAGATGTGGCTTCTGTTGCCTCCCTGACATTCTGGTCTAAGTATTTATTATTACTGGGCTTTGACAGAAAGGGGAGGTTTGCAGAGGACCCCCCCCAACACATACACACATACACATATACCTCAAAATGTATTATCTAATTTAGAAAAGACTCAAGGTGGGCATGATAGTACATTCCTGTAATCCCAGCACTCAAGAGGCTAAGACAGGAGGATTGAGTTTATGGCCAGCCTGGGCTATAAGCAAGACTCAGGGGACAGGTAAAGTCTACACAGATGAGCAAGTAAAATGTTAGCACCAGGCCTTTCACTCGATTCTAGGAGCAACCACGATGGCATGGGTCTACAACTGGAAATAAGCACTCAGCTAGTCAGAGATAGTACAGAATATCACTTGATCAGGCAGGTGGCATCCCTGTGAACCTGAGAGCTTTGCCATCCTAGCAGATGCCATACATGCCAGGGGATGATCTAAGGGTCTCACAGGATCTCACTGCCCTCCACTCACCTCACTACCAGGAAAGGAGGGCTCCAACTCCATACCTCAAGGGCAAGGATGAGGCCACTCATAAGAAACGACATGTGTGTATGTCAGCTACAGTTCAACTGCCAAGCTCAGCATCCACTTCATGTGGGGAAACGGCTCAGTACAGTGCTTGCCTTTCAAGCCTGAAGAACTGAGTTCAGACCTCAGAATCCATGTAAAAATGTGGGTCATAGTAGCATGTGCTTTGGGAAGGATCCCTGGGACTCACTGACCGGTCAGCCTAACCTAACTGGTGAGCTTCAGGTCAATGAGAGATCCTGTCTCAAAGGAGATGGACAATTCCTGAGGATAACTGCCACCAAGCCTGATGACCTGGGTTCAATTCCTCAAAACCCACAGAAAAGAGAAGGAATAATTTTTAATTTTTTTTTACATTTCTTTTTTTAAGTTATTTATTTAATAACCACATGATTAGAAGAGGCATTTCATTACAGCATTAACATATTCAATAACAATTTTCAGAGTGAAGATGAATCTCTTTCAAAACTGGCTGTAAATTTTTAGGTTCACAGTTGAATTAATAGTTATACAATATTGTCCTCAGTATAAAACCTATAAGACATAAAATTGAATGAGATTTTAACCTTTAAAAAAGATCTCCATTTCATTTTAAAATATCCTGTTTCATACAGAAAATCTCATTTTTTAGATTAGATGTTTACACATGCATCTCTAATCTCTATGTATCTGATTATTACTAGTCACAATTGGTTACTTTCTGAGCTCCTTGGCACCTCGGCATGGATATAAAGTCATCAGGTAGATTTCAGTGGTAATGTTTTTCACCTCTACTAATTAACATGAGGCAAATTTTTTTCTCATTTATTTTTTTTAAGTTTTAATAACTACATGATTAGAAGAAACATTTCATTACAGCTTTAACATATTCAGTAACACACGCCAGAACAAAAGTATATCTCTTTCACAAGTGGCTGCAAGTTTCTAGGTTCACAGTTGAATTAATACAATTACACAATATTGAACTCAGTATAAGCCCTGTAAGACATAAAATTGAATGAGTTTTTAACATTTAAAAAAGATCTCTATTTTATCATTAAAATACGCAGTTTCATTATATTGTTCCTTGCAGAAAGACTCATTGTTTTTGCTACTATTAGATGCAAATTTTTATGCTTCTTCCTCACATTTAACTCATTTGATTTTTTTGTGTGTGTGTATTTCATACAGAACATCCCAGACAATCTTATTCATCTATATACCCACATCCCAAATGGCACCCTCCCATAGCCTCCCCCCCTCTACACTGGAGCCCATATACTCTGTCATCCCTGTTACTGTCCACTGTGTGTTCGGTGCCCCCAGCCGTTTCCCAGTGCTTGTCCATCTGCTGAATCTAGTCAGCCTATCTAGAGGTCCTTGTTTTAGGAAGATCAGCTTGAGGAGAGGAATAATTCTTAGAAGTTGTCCTTTGATTTCCACATGGCAAGCATGTGTGTTTGCATACACACATGTAAAACAAAAAATATTAGCTTGGGCATGGTGCTCAAGGACTGCTGAGTTCAAGGCCAGTCTTGACTACATAGTGAGAGTTCCAGGCTAGCCTAAGCTACAGAGACTGTGTCCAAAAAAAAAAGTGGATGGTCGTTGCCAGGGATGGAAGGGAGTAAAGTTGTTCAATGGGTTGCTGGGGATGGTGATGTTAATGGTTACATAATAAATGTACTCACGCACTAAACAATGCCCCCCAAATGCTTTAAACAATAAATTCTGGGGCCTGGAATGATGGCTCAGCAGTTGCGCACTGGCAGAGGACCCGGGTTCAGTTCCTAGCACCCACATAGCGGCTACGAACTGTCTGTAACTTCAGTTACATGGGAATCTGACACCCTCTTCCTCAGGCATTGCAGGATACAGGTACACTGACATGCAGGCAATACACTCATACACATAAAATAAAATAAAATATCTTTTAAAAGTACTGCCAGGCATGGTGGTGCATGCCTTTAATCCCAGCACTTGGGAGGCAGAGGCAGGTGGATCTCTGAGTTCGAGATCAGCTTGGTCTCCATAGCGAATCCAGACCAGCTGCGGCTATAGGGAGACCCTGTCTCAAAAAGAAAAAAAAAAAATTAAGTAAATTCTATGTATATTTTTGCCATAATTTGTTGAATTCTAAGTAACTTGAATTGAGCATTTGCAGTATGCTGGACACTGGGGAACAGACCTCACAGCTCTCCACACAGCCATGTGAGGCTGGCACTGCTGTCTTCATCTTACAGAGATGTGACATGATGGAGTCTCCCAAAGCCAGGACACTGAATTGCTGAGGGTGGATTTGAACTCAACTCCAAGTCTAAATCCCATGCCTCTGAACCTTCCCAGTGTAGACAGCCGTCCGAGACACAACACACTCACCTGATGGTCTACTGATTGGTTTTTGTAAACATCATCACATCCTTCTAATAGTGCAATTTCTTTCCAGCTGCCAATTTCAGGCTGTTCTTGTTTGTGCCTCTTGCTGCAAGTGGGCCCCAACTTACATGCTCGTTAGTACATTTGGCCCCTGTTTGTGGAGTGACATTTCTTACCTTCTGTGTTACAGACCACAGTGATTGACTATGTGAAGCCCTCAGATCTCAAGAAAGACATGAATGAGACCTTCAAAGAGAAGTTTCCTCACATTAAGTTAACACTCAGCAAGATAAGAAGGTATGAGAGACTCATGTTGCCTTGAACTTTTCCCCTATAGCCCCTCCCCCCAGCACGGTGTATGGTGGTGGCTCTTGTTCTTTGGGAAAGGAAATATGGTCACATTCAGCAGAGAGTCTCTTCTGCTGCTGTCTGACTTGGGCCTGGATATCATGGGAGAGCCGGGGCAGCAGGCAGAAGGCCAAGCTCCTGACCCCTTCGTTGACATAGCTCTTGACGAGACATCCCTTTAATGAGAAAAACCATTACATGTCTGCCAGCAGCTGACCAGCTCAATAAGATTGAAGTTATAGGAAACTGAAAGAATGGGGCTTCAGATGTACCAGGGTAGAGTGCTAGCCTAACATGCACAGAGCCCTGGGTTCAATCTCTAGCACTGCATAGACAGGCATGGTTGTGCATTCCTGTGATTCCAGCACTTGTAAGTTGGAGGCAGCAGGAATTCAAACCAGTCTAGCATACATGAGAGGTGTCTCAATAAAAACCACAAAGAATGGGCAACATTCAGGTCTCAAAGCTGAAGCACAGGCAAAACAGAATAGAGCTGACCACCTTGGGGCATGAGATAACTCCACCCACACAGCTGTGACCTCAAGGCTCTATCTTCCCATATAGCTGACTGCATGGGTTTGTGGTGACCCATATCTGCCAGCCACATAGTCCAGATGACTGAACCTGCTGAACCAAAGAGGTGCTGACTTGTGTTTGTGCAGTGACACCAATATCTCAGGGTGTGTAATAACAGCTTGGTTGTACACCTATGTGATCACTCTGGAATATGTTTTCTAATTTGCTATCTGCTGCTGTGATAAAACACCGACCAAAACCAACTTGGGGAGGAAAGGGTTTATTTCATCTTACAAGTTACAGTCCACCATCGAGGGAAGGCAAGAGACCTTGGAGAATTGCTGCTCACTGGCTTGCTTCCTCTGCCTTGCTCAGCTACCTTCTGCAGCCTAGACCCTGATGTCGAGGGCTGGCACTGCCCACAGCAACTTAAAAATGTCTCACAGCACCAGGTGTGGTTGTGCACACCTTTAATCCCAGCACTCGGGAGGCAGAAGCCATGGATCTCTGAGATGGAGGCCAGCCTTGTCTACATAGAGAGTTCTAGGTCAGCTGGGGCTACAGGGAGACCCTGGCTCCAAAAAAGAAATGTCTTACAGGTATGGTCACAGGCCAATGTGATCTGGGAAATTCTTTAGTTGAGAGTCCCTCTCCCAGCTATGCCAAGTTGAAAACCAAGATTAGTCATCACAGTGTGCCAGCTATACCAGTGTGTATCCTAAGCCAGATTTGATTCTGGCATGTTCCAAACCAAAGAACCAGACCTAACACCTGTCCTACCTCCCTAATGAATATAACTCTACCTGGCAGAGCTTAGACCAAGCACCTGATTTACATCTAAAATCTCTCTGGAATAAGCATAGTCCCCTTTTGACTTTAGGGAACCCCACCCTATTTTCCCAGGGATTCAGACATCCACATATATTCAGTAGTGTCCTTCCATGTCTGGGTCATGTTAATTGGAGCCCTGCCTATCCTTGGAAGTGGTTATTCAGGCTGGGTCTGGGGCAAGAACAAAAAGGAATTTGGTCTGTGCCAGCAGACAAGCAGAGGGACCAGATCCCAGCTACATGTTCTGCTCCCATGTCTAATGTATCTTCACCCTCCTATGGATTTAATCTCATCCCACGTTCCCCTGTGGGAGTGAAAAAAAAATAGAGAAAATGCTTTCCAGATGGAGTCACCATCTTCTTTTGGATCCCCTGAAACTCAAACTCTGCAGCTCTCTCAGGACTCCTTACTTCCTGTCTCCCTAGTCTGAAACGAGAGATGCGGAAGCTTGCCCAGGAAGACTGTGGCTTTGAGGAGCCCACGGTGGCCATGGCCTTTGTCTACTTTGAGAAGCTTGCCCTCAAGGGAAAGCTGAACAAGCAGAACCGGAAGCTCTGTGCTGGAGCATGTGTGCTGTTAGCAGCCAAGATCGGAAGTGACCTCAAAAAGCATGACGTCAAGCATCTAATTGATGTAAGTGGGCTGCATTAGAGGTGGGAGATGTGCTCTCAGTCTAGCCACACACCCCCAAACAGATGACCCTTAACAGCTAATAGAGATGAGAGCTGTAAAGTCATTTGTGTAACAGATAGATGATCCATTTGAACAAGACTATAGCACCCCCAGCATTGGGTCCGCTCTGAAAAACCCATGCTCAGGTAGCATGAGGGATGAAATCATTCCCATAGCCAGAGAAGCCACCCCAACAGCAAAGGGTCTTGTGAGCAGCATAACTGCAGAGCATCCATTGGACATGCTAGGTGGGTGTCGTCATTACTGCATCAATGGTGTGCTGTCTTTCGTTTTGTTTTTTTAATTATTTAATAACCACATAATTAGTAGACGCATTCCATTACAGCAGCATTGACATATTCAATAACAATTTCCAGAGCAAAGATGCATCTCTTTCAAAATTGGCTGTAAATTTTTAGGTTCACAGTTGAATTAATACAGTTATACAATATTGAACTCAGTATGAACTCAGTATAAACCCTAACAGACATAAAATTGAATGAGATTTTAACCTTTAAAAAAGCTCTCCATTTCATTTTAGAATATATTGTTCCCTGCATAAAGACTAATTGATTTTGCTACTAACACTGA